ATATATGTATGACTTTTACATGTCATTTATCTTAGTTCACAGAAACGCTCCATCTATCTGCTCCTGACCCGGCCCCCCCCCCCTGTTCAATTATAATATATAATATATAGTACAGTATTTAGCTGTCAGCAAGCAAGCCAACGCTAGCCTCTCACTGGGCTGAGACAGCCAGTGACTACATGAAAACGTAAAATAGAGTGCTCAGAATTCCACCAGAACAAAAGTGTTGTGTCTTCATTTAATATATCTGTGAAATAACTTGACAGAGAGTTAGTTTCGTCTGCGGCGTCTTCTCTCTACCCGCTCCTGGTCTAAATCTAGCGGCACAGTCGACTCTCGCCTCCGAAGGAAGCGGCAGCAACGGCAGCTGATGTTACATCAGTGTCGTTGGTGTCAGCTGGAGGTGGAGAAGATGAGACTGAGGCGACGTAGCAGTCAGAGACTAATCTGAGCAGACTGAATAAAAATGTGTTCACACTGACGGGGGACTGAGATCCACAGATCTAATTTTAATAGTGTGTGTGTGTGTGTGTGAATGCACATTTATTTAGCGGGAAGCGTTAAGTAAAACTGTTAGGCCTGTCATCTTCACAGGCAGAAGAGAGCCTAGCACATAAAAATGTCCTTTTTGTCCTCTGAGGTGTCAATGTCTTCCTGTCCCAGGTTGGACAGTTAGCATTCAAGTTAACAAAGATAAATATCACGATACCACGTACTGAATGGCGCCTCCTGTGGCAGCCCGTGAGTTGCAACCACCTACTGAATGGCGCCTCCTGTGGCAGCCTGTGAGTCGCAACCACTTACTCAATGGCGCCTCCTGTGGCAGCCCGTGAGTCGCAACCACTTACTCAATGGCGCCTCCTGTGGCCGCCTGTGAGTTGCAACCACGTACTGAATGGCGCCTCCTGTGGCCGCCCGTGAGTTGCAACCACGTACTGAATGGCGCCTCCTGTGGCAGCCTGTGAGTCGCAACCACTTACTCAATGGCGCCTCCTGTGGCAGCCCGTGAGTCGCAACCACTTACTCAATGGCGCCTCCTGTGACAACCTGTGAGTTGCAACCACTTACTCAATGGCGCCTCCTGTGGCCGCCTGTGAGTTGCAACCACGTACTGAATGGCGCCTCCTGTGGCAGCCCCTGAGTTGCAACCACTTACTCAATGGCGCCTCCTGTGGCAGCCCGTGAGTCGCAACCACTTACTCAATGGCGCCTCCTGTGGCCGCCCGTGAGTTGCAACCACCTACTGAATGGCGCCTCCTGTGGCCGCCCGTGAGTTGCAACCACCTACTGAATGGCGCCTCCTGTGGCCGCCTGTGAGTTACAACCAGAGTCCTTCAGAAATCCTTCTCATCTCTGTTTATCTTCTGGCCTTCCCTCTTCTTTTTCCTGTCATTTTTGCAGATGTGCGCCCTCTACCTGCCCGATCCATTAACAGCACGTTAAGCTAATTCGATAAAACATTAAAACTCTTTTTGAATGAGCAGAATGAATAAACGGCCAATCAATTAACCCTTTTTTGGCAAAGCAAAGCGAGCGCGTGCGTGTGCATTCACGGAGACGCTATTAGTACGCGATGAGTTTGGGGGGGGAAAGAGGAGCGCATTAATAAGTGATGGAGTCGTGAAAGGCTGCTGCTCCACTGTGGACCGTGGGAGAACGACCTGTCAGCACAGATCTGCTTCATCGTGTGAAGAGCTGAGGGTTAGGGAGGAGAGAAAGAAAAAAAAAAAGGAGAGGAGAGAAAAGATAGGAGTGATGAAGGTGTGAGGACAGCAATTAGGTGGAGATAATGAAGGAGGGAGTTCGGGGAGTGTGATTTCTCATTCGCTTTAAGACAGAGCATATTTCTTCCTCCTTTCTCTTCGTACATAAATATTGAAATGAGTCGTTTCTAAGGTTACAGATGTTTGGGTACTTCAGTATGAGCCCCAGCAGTTTGTTTGAATGGGTAAAAGTTAGCGCAAATATTTGAGCATCAAGATTCTATCCATCCATCCATCCATCCATCCATCCATCCATCTATCTATCTATCTATCCATCTATCTATCCATCCATCCATCCATCCATCCATCTATCCATCCATCTATCCATCCATCCATCCATCCAGATTACATCTTTCCTCTCATTCTTACTCCATTTCCATCCTTCCTTTCACTCTTTCTTTTACCTGTCTCTCTCTCCTTCCATCCCTTTAACTTGTCCTCTGTTTTTCTATCTTTCTCGTGTCATTTTTTTCCTCCCTTCATTTCTCTTTCTCTCTTTTTATGTTTTTATTTGTTTTTTCCTCCCCCTCTCCCTCCCTCTCCCTCCACCAGTCCCTCCCCTAATCTCTTTCAGACTTTTAAACTGATTAAAAGTTTCTCTCCACCAATTCCTCCCATTCCGACCCCCTCCCTCCCTGCTCAAACCACACTCTGTTCTCCACTTCCTCTCTCCGTCATCCCCATACATCGCTCTCAGTCTCCCTCATCCTGTATCCTCTCCTCACTCTCACTCTCCCTGTCCCCTCCGTCAGTCTCCCTTTCCCCCCCTCTCTCTCTCTCCCTCACTCTCTCTCACTCTCTCAGTTCGACTGCAGATGGAGCAGAAGGAGGAGACATTTACACTCCTCTTGTCTTTTTTTTCGCTCTTCCACTCCGTCCTCACATCTTCTCCTCCTTCGTCCCCTCTCTCCGCAGGTGATCACTCCGTTTCGACGTCTCATCCTTTGCGCGGAGAACAGGAAAGAGATGGAGGACTGGATCAGCTCGCTCAAGTCCGTCCAGTCCAGAGAACATTACGAGGTAAGACCCCCCGGTTGGAGATACCGATGGTGTTCTTCTGCAGATGTTCTCCAGGCCACGGGCAGCAGCTGGCGCTGGAGTTGTTTTGAGCTCGTCTACTTCCTTGTGGTTAATGCAGCGAAAGCAGGTCCTTCTCTGGGGGGGACGTTGTTAGTTCTGTGTACGACAGTGGGGTTTGATGGAGTCTTTTTGGCTGGAGATGGAAGGAGAAGAAGGAGGAGGAGGAGGAGGAAGATGTTGGCATCTAGGTCAGCACCAAGACTGAGGGTGGTTTCCTTCCTCCAGAGGATGTTTGGGACAATTTTACCGAAGAGATAATTGTGGCGAGGAAGGTGTTTTTATAAAGATCTACCAAATCTCTGTCATCGATTGATCGATGCGTACATTTGTCCCAAAATCACCAGGACAAGCTCAGTTTTCTGAAATGTTTTTTTCTCCAAGTCCTGGTTTCATCTTTGCTTTGATGACCAACTAAATACCTCGGGATCTTTCTAGAAGGTTTAAGAAGCTAGAAAGATCTTTCTAGTCCTCGTGTTGGATTGTGCAGGAGCCTTTACACATTAATCATTTAAATATATAAAAAAAAAAATTAAAAAAAAGACCCGACCCATTATACTAAATTAGTAAATGCTGACGTGACGAAAAGGTGTAGCGGCGGTGAAACGGATATGGAGATGAAGAAGTAAACAGAGAGGTGAAGACGAGACCAGAAGAAGTGAATGCTCTTTGCATCTTATTTGTGTCAGTGCCGTCTTATATAAGACTCTTGAGCATCAGCATCACTCCACCTTTACTGCACTGCAGCAGCAACAGCAGTAGCCTCATCCCGGAGCTGTTCACCACAGGTTACTACATCACATGCCCGACCACTAAACACCACATGCAGCACACGTCTCTGCAGAGTCTGTACCAAAGAACCTGCAGCATCCAGGAGTGCACAGATGGTTTTTTTTTTTTTTTTTTTTTTTTTTTTTAGAAAGTAGATCCTAGAGCAATCGTCTAAAGCAGCGTTGTGTTAAACTAAAACCGTCCTGCTGGGGGCGGGGGGGTTCAATCAGGCCCACTTGATGAATTTTAAAATTGAAAAAGTGCACAAACACTTCATGTTTGTGATATTTTGGCAAATTATATATCATTAAATATGAATATTTTTTTAATAAACCTCTACTTATTTGCATGAAAACAAAAAAGAAAAACATAGATTTTTATATGATTTTTTTTTTTATAAGTATTTAGCTTATCATTGTACTGGTCCGGCCCACTTGACTTCTACTAATCTAATCAGGCTGAATGTGGCCCCTGAACCAAAAAAAAAAAAAGTTTGACACCTGTGGTCTAGAGCATATGTGTCAAACTCAAGGCCCGGGGGTCCAAATGCGGCCTGCCGAGCCGTTTTGTGTGGCCCGTGGGAGCTTTAAAAAAAAATTTAGTGAAGTTCATGCAGCAGAGTTTCTTAACCTGAGAAATGAAAACGTTTTTGTTTATTAGCCAACAATGAACAATATTTGCAGCTTGAATAAATAATAATCAATTGTAAGACCGGGGGTTTGAGGACCCCTGATCTATACAGTCTTCCATTTACAACCGGCCCTTCAAGGGGAACTGTATTGCTGATGTCGCCCCCTGGTGGAAATGAGTTCGACACCGCTAGTCTCGAGGGTTGCGGGTTTGAATCCGGCCTCTTTGAGATTCTATGCAGCCTCTAATGGCGCTTTCAGTAGTTGGATGTCCGAACTTGCAGGACTAGTAGATTTGTGATTCGCTGGATAAAGGGACAGTTTCAAAATGATTTGATGGCGAGATAACGCTGTTTTTAAAAAGGAAAGAACAATTTTTTATAGCTCTAAACTTTGTTGTATTTTGTGTTTTATGTTGACCCAACCTCTACAAAAGGACAATAATTCTCTGACGATATCTCCCTAATGCATAGGGGCAGTAGAGAGCTGATGATAATATAATATTAATAAATTATAATTGAGTCAATTTTTCATCCCACAACGTGGACATTTAGAGTCTTTGCGACCGAACCGACACATGCTGCAATGGGAGTGCCGTTAAGTACATGGTTGCAACTCACATGGAAGCGCCAGTCGGAATATATGTGGTTTTTCTATGAATCGAACACAGTTGCTAACCAAGTGTGCTGACCACTACAATATGGAACCACAAATTTCCAGTCTGAGTCTTTGCATCCAACACAGGCTGCCACGAAAGGTTCCATTAGGGATATGTGGTTCCTCCGGGAATCTAACCCAGGACTGCAAGTCAGACGTGCTAGCCGCTACATTATGGAACCGCTAACATGATGTAAGATATAAAATATAATATTTCAAATGGAATGTTAGGGTTAGACGGTGGACGAGTGGTGGGCGCTCTTGCCTTACCGCAAAAGGATCACCATGTCTTTCTGTAGGGACCTGGGTGTGTCGGGCTGAGATTAGTTGTTTGTCTCTAGGGCAGGCATGGGCAAACTAAGGCTCGGGGGCCGGATGCGGCCCGTTCAGCTTTTTAATCCGGCCCGCCAAAATGTTCCAAATTTTATATTTATGTATTTATATTATCATTATACTTCTGCCTTTTCCCTGCAATACCCACGTTTCCCCAATAGATGGCGTAGCAAATGATAAAAGCATTTTAGCCTTTACGCATGACTTTTACATGTCATTTATCTTAGTTCACATCAGCTCCTGACCCACGAGTCAAAAAGTTTGCCCACGCCTGCTCTAGGGTAGGGCACTGTGATGGACTGAACCTCACACGGTGTAGCCGCCCTCTCCTGACGACTGCTGGGATGACGTATAAAATGCATTTCCGCCTTAAATGTTTTAAGCCTTTTCTACGCCATCTGTTGGGGAAATGCAAGTATTGCTGGGAAAAAGCAGATAAACAATGATAATATAAATGAATTTTATGAAGTGTGGTGGGCCAGATTAAAAAACCAAACGGGCCGCATCCAGACCCCCGGCCATAGTTTTCCCATGCCTTCTCTAGCTCCTTATGCAACTCTGAGAAGGATTACGTGATAGAAGACGGATGAATGGACCAAATGTTAAGATGTCGTATAGAAAGAGTCTTAGTTTGCAATCTCTGTCTGAAGGCCACTGTCTTTGCTTCTCTGTGACATCATGAACATGCTGCCAACCTTCTACCCTCTTCTCTCTACCAGACGGCTCAGTTTAATGTGGAACATTTCTCAGGGATGCACAACTGGTACGCCTGCTCTCACGCACGCCCAACTTTCTGCAACGTCTGTAAGGACAGTCTTTCAGGGGTCACGTCACATGGTCTCTCCTGCGAAGGTGAGTCAAAAACACTCTACAATCTACAAAAGGCGCGTTAGACGAGCTGTTAAAATGCAAACAACTTAGTCGGTGGTCAGATGAATAACACCGCAGCGTCAGGTCCAGATATGGTACGTGAAACGGCCAAGTGTGAAAAAGGAAGAGCGAAAACACAGGTTTTTATCATAACGAAAATAAGTGTACATGTGTTTCTTCATGGGGAAAAGAGAGTGTGCTTAGTGCACCGTGGGAGTGCCCCAGCGGTCTAGACCTACAGCAGCAGAACTCAGGCTCAGCTGAGCTGCCCTACAGTAGTTTTAATCAGAAGAAGCCTAACTTTGAATATAGAGATGGGGTCAGCCTTCTGAACTCACGCCGACAGTTGGTTTCACATTAAAATAGAAGGCGTTAGTAACTGGGGATGGCTCGATAGTAATAGTGATTAAAGTAATAAAAGTTCGTAATAGGCTAATAGTGTTTTATTGTCCTCAATTCTGAGGATAGTGTTTATGATTTGACTTTGAACCAGAGAACAAGAGCAACCATAACTTTTCCACTGTCGAGCCCTAACGTTCCAATGAAATATTATATTTATACATTATGTTATATTAATGTTCCCATAGTGCAGCAGCTGAATTTTTGAACAACAACGGAAATTGATAGATACTATTGAGTTGATGTTCCTTTGAAATAATTAGTTCCCTAATATAAGAACCTTGGGGGAACATAGCTCTACGTTTTTGGAAAATGCTAATAAGACTTAGCATAAATCTTTTTTTTTTTTTTTTTTTTAAAGTATGATTGAAATGAATTGAAGTACAGTACCTTAAGTTGCTACGATCAATACTATCTCATCACGAAGTCCAGTATCTGAGGCCATGAGTAGGTCGTTAGTTATTTAACCCGTGCCGTTTCTGTACTAACGTGTAATGACATAACATTAGTGTACATTAGTGTCGTGCTGAAACGACGTCGCAGTCGTATCCGGTCCGGGCGGCCGCAAACTACGTTAAAACTTCTCTGGCCGTTAGTGAACATTAGCGGGGCATTAATTGAATTCAGAGAGCACGAAAACGGCTGTCAGTTAACGAGCAGGCGCCAACAAACTGAAGCGTCTGACGCGGGAGGAAGAAGCACTAACATCATTTTTCAGCTTCTATTTTTAGCTCCATTTGAGCAACATCTGCCACACCTCTCTGCAGTCGTGGCCATTTGATCGTCCTTATTAAGTGTTTTCAAGCAGCATAAACTGGATTTTCCTCCTTTCTGCTGGTCATTAAGATTAATAGCTTGATTGTTGAGGGTTATACGACCTGAGAGGAGACACACAGACACACACAGACGCTGAGCTGACGCTGAGCAACGTTAGCTACAGTGTACGCCCCGATCAAAAACTCAAACCCCCCGACATCTCTCGCCTCCCGTTGTTCCCAGTGTGCAAGTTCAAGGCTCACAAACGCTGCGCGGTCCGAGCCACTAACAACTGCAAATGGACCACTCTGGCCTCCATAGGGAAGGACATCATCGAGGACGAGGACGGGGTGAGACATTTTAACACAATCTCAAATTTTGTCAACATACACGTTTTTTTTTTGTTACTTAAAGTGAAAATGCTTCCGTTTCTTTCTCAGATCGCGATGCCTCACCAGTGGTTGGAAGGGAACCTGCCCGTCAGTGCCAAGTGCGCAGTTTGCGACAAAACCTGTGGCAGTGTCCTGAGGCTGCAGGACTGGCGCTGCCTCTGGTGCAAAGCTATGGTATGACACGAGCTCCCAGCTGTTTCTAAAATGGTTGAAAACGAGCCACGTTAATAGAAGATTCCTAGTTTAGTACCAGGCGTGGGCAAACGTTTTGACTCGCGGGCCACAATGGGTCCTAAAATTTGATTGGTCGGGAGCAGATAGCTGCAGCGTTCGTGTGAACTAAGATAAATGACATGTCAAAGTCATGCATAAAGGCTAAAATTTTATCATTTTCTACGCCATCTATTGGGGAAAAGGCAGAAGGATAATGATAATATAAATAAATTATATAATTTGGAAAATTTGGGCGGGCCCGATTAAAAAGGCTAAATTATATAATTTGGAAAATTTGGGCGGCCCGGATTGCAAGGCTGAATGGCCCGCATCCGGCCCCCGGGCCTTAGTTTGCTTATGCCTGGTTTAGTTTTTAACCAACTGCCATACAGTATTTATGTCACCTTTCTTCTGTTTCTCACTGTTTGTAAAATAAATTATACAATTTCTGCATGGACATATATCCTCGCAAATGTCCACTAGGTCAATGTAAAGTCTCCATCATTCCTCCTACAGCTCTGAACAGCATCGACTCAGATGGTAGGAACACAAACTCTCTCTCTCTCTCTCTCCCCTTTCCGTCTCCCTCGTTCTCTCCCTCTCCCCGGTAATGTATGGATGACGAGAGTCAGAGAAGCTGGAGAGGGAGGGAGGAGGAGGAGTCACTATTTTCTCAGCACGTGTTGGCTGTCCTCCCCTCCACCTTCCCCTCTCTCCTAACCAATTACAATCACACTCCCCTACTGTTTCCCAGCATGCATTTGGACACAGGGTGTCTAGCACGTGAGTGAGCAAGTGAGTGGAGTAAGGAGAGTAGTGAGTAAATAAAAGAGGAGATGTGTTTGTATGTGATAATGATAATAATAATGATGATAATGTTTCATTTTATATTTCAATCTGAGTTTATAATCTGTCCGTAATCCACATAGATAGAGTCACGTGACTTACTGGTCAGAACAAGTCCCCGAGCAACAATAATGCTTATGGAGATGTTGAACATGCATGAGTTCACCTGGGCTGTCGAGAGGACTCGTTTTGACCTCGGTTACAGACAAGTCCTAAAGGGACAGTCCCAGTTGATTGGCCTATTTTTATCTCCGCCGTTAATCCCAGGTTTCTGGAAGGCCACCTGCCCTCCATCATGTGCCAGTCCTCTCCTGGTCTTCGTGAACTCCAAAAGCGGAGACAACCAGGGGGTGAAGTTCCTGCGGCGCTTTAAGCAGCTCCTGAACCCGGCTCAGGTCTTCGACCTGGTCAACGGTGGGCCGCACCTCGGGTGAGGAGACACGATGTGTGCAGGGATGTTGAAACTGAAGAGAACAACGAGTACTGATGGAGTTTTGGGTTTTTTTTTTTTTCTGCGTCTTTTTCAGTCTACGTCTGTTCCAGAAGTTTGACACCTTCAGGATTCTGGTGTGCGGTGGTGACGGCAGCGTGGGCTGGGTCCTGTCGGAGATCGACAAACTCAACCTACACAAACAAGTAAGTCGCGTTTCCGCTAGGTCAAACTCCCGCGGGAGCCAAAAAAGGCATCTAGTAAAGTCCATGCAGCAGAGTTTCTTAACCTATGAATTTAAAAAAAAAAAAAAATTACACAGTAATGAACAATATTTGTAGCTTGAATAAATAATAATCAATTGTCGAAACATGTATTCGTTTGTAAATTAGTAAAAAAAATTAAGTATGTATTTTCACTGCGGCCCAGTACCAAATGAGCTATGAACTGGTACTGGTCCGCATACCGAGGGTTGGGAACCCCTGATCTATACATTCTTCCATTTACAACCAGCCCTTCAAGGGGAACTGTGGCCCCCGGTAAAATTTTGGTTTAACTAGCAGAGGCTAGTTAGCCTAGCCCGTGCTAGGCTAACTCTTAGCCACCTCCACAAAGTTTGAGATCAACCTTATTATGTTGCAATATATTTTTATATTATATATGAATATATGTATTATGCCCTGGAGCAGATCACTAAGTCTCCCCTGTGCATTCCAACTACGGTCGGGGCGCCGAAGCGGGAAAGAGCTAACGTGTAACCAGCCGTGTTACAGGGACTGTTCGGAAAAAAAAAAACATTTATTTATGTGAAAAAAAATCTTTCTGTGTAAATAT